ATTTTGCCCAATGGTAAATTTCTGCATCACAATGTTCATCAAATTGACTTGCACTCCACTTAGTAATTTTTGTCTCACCTTTTGCTTGCCCGATTGGAATTTGGGTCATGTTGGGGGAAGCAAGGGTCAGATGCCCGAAAGTGCATGGACCACCGATAAGACGCGAGGGGATTCCTGGGTATGCTCTGTCCCCACAGATAAGAAACACTCCCTTGTCCAGCTTGCGGGGACGGAAATCAGTGGTGGATGCAAATTTCAGCTTATAGACAGCTGTGCACCATTGACCCGCCCTGAATTCCACCTTGTACTGTTTGACTTGCTCATATAGTTTTACTTCTTTGGTTGGGGAAAAATCAAATTGAATGCAATATTTTGCGGGGCCCAGGAGTTCTAATTCCTGGGGCTCTCCCTCGGCAGTGGGTAAGTGTAGGATCCATCTTTGCCACAAAACGAGGGGGTTTTGCACTGGTATTTTAACTTGTTCTACGGTCCTCGGTGCCCGTAGAACTCTGCCCATGCCTCAGGTGTTTTATTTTCATTCATTTGCTTTTGTAAGCAGACTAGGCTGATTGGGAACTCCTCCCCCTTACTTGGAAACCCTACTAAACATGTGGACATCGGATTTTCTGCTGAGGCAGTAGACAAACACATGTGATCTTGTTTCAAGTCTTGGGTGAGTGTGACCCACACATTTTTCTTGGGCTGTGGAACAATCCATGTGTCCACCGTGGACGGGTAGATAGCCATTTTCTGGAATCAAACGATGAGCAGGAATGTGGAAATTGACATTCTGCTAGTCTGAAAGAAAGATAAAATCATACAAGGTAAACTAACTCTGAAAAAAATGCAATTCGCTCTGCTAGTATAAAGGAAAAAGATTCCCCCCGCTCACACTTTACCCCCTTGTGAAGGAGGAGGCCCTGCAGACCCCAGAGTCCTTGGGGTTGCCGCTGCTGAAGCAACCACCCTTTCCCGCGGTTTTATCACTGAGTCCTTTGTCATTAGGGTGGCTCTTCTCATGCACTCCTCAATGAGCTGATCGAGTGTGGGTGGAGGTGATGCTGGAAGGGCCAAGATGACTTGCTGACAGGCTTCATTTGCATTTATGGTGACAAGTTTTAATGTAAATTGATCTTGGAGCTCTGGATTTTGCACCCTTTTCTCAACTGAAGCTCTCAGTTGATCCACAAAATCCATGAATGGCTTTGTAACAGACTGCTTTAAAGCGGTATAAGAAATGATAGGTTCTTTAGAAGGCATGTTAAAAAATGCACGTTCTGCCGCATCCCTGGACAGGTCTAGCACTGATCTGGGAATGCCTGCTGCTTACTTTTCAGCTTGGCTCCAATCACCCTCACCCACTAGATGTTCTAAAGTGATTTCCTCATCCTCTGTATCTGTGGAATGGGTTGGACTCTGCAAAATCTCTGGAAGGAGATCTCCTGCAAGTCTTTTCCAAGTTCTTTCCCACAATTTAAATTCAGATTGAGGGAGCAAACAGCTGAAAAGACGTTTCAAATCAGCAGGGACAAATGTTTTGGAACTTCGAGTAGCTTTCAAAACGCTCTTAAAAAATTCACTCCTTTCTCCAAATTCATGTTTTGTTTTGCAGAGTTCCCTGATACTGTCGTATGAAAGGGGCTCCCATCTAGGGTTTTGTCCTCTCACATTATAAACAACTGGGGCCATGAACGGAGGATTGGTGTCTCTCACCAGTTTCTGTTTCCCAGAGCCGACAGTCCCGGAGCTGATAGCTCCGCCCTGCCATTGCCGAGGGAACCAGGAGCGAGAGGAGGGGGCTGCTTGTGTGGGAGTTGCTACAGCTGGCGGGTCCGTGTGGAGCGGGGCGGGGGCAGGGGGTGGTGATGGAGCTGCGAGGGGAGGAGCTGAGGGCTGAACTGTGGGCTGGACCATGGGCTGAACCACCGCAAGAGAGGAGGGGTTGGGATTGGGGATGGGCAAAGGGAGGAATATGAGGGCTGGGGTGTGTTTTGGGCTGGCAGGGGAGCAAGGAATTCTGGGATGGAGAAGGGCAAGTCGCGTGGCCGCCTCCTTCTTGTGGTGGCTGCACGAGGGGGGTGGGGGGTGTAAAGCATTGAATTTGAGCTGCGGGAGCGGAATCAGGAGATGGAGAAGGGTTAAGAACTGAATCTACATCTGCGCGGTTAGTTTTTTCAAAGCTGGGGATGCGGGGGTTACAGGGAACGCGATGGAACCCTTTTCTGTTCCCCGGGCGTCCTGACTGTCTGCACTCTCTTTCACAAAGTCATAAACGAACAAAAAGATTCTCATAAAACCTTCTTTCACTGAGGGATCTCCTGCCTTTGTCCTTTCACTCAACACTGCACCCACACGTTTCCAAAACTGTCTTTCTTTCACTTCTTGCTCTGTTACCTCTGAAAAACTTACTGTTACCCATCTGACAAACTGTTTCACAAGGCTTTTAGGAAGTTTTGCACCTTCTCTCTGCACGGGTTCTTGAACTTGTTTATAAATCTCTTTCTGCTGTGTAGTCAACGTAACACCCATCGCTGGCTGCACAGCACAGTCTCACCCAGTTACTGCAGCAAAAACCCTGAAGTTCTAAAGCCACAATGGAGACCCCTGCCATGCCCGCGTGTTGGCGTGTCCCTCTGTGGGAGCACGGGAGCCTAACTCCAGTCTCCTGGCCGGACCCCTCCCCACCAGTACCAAGACTTACCCCCCACTGTTCTTCAGAAAACACACTGCAGCAACAGTTCCCGACTCCGCAAACAGTCTTCCGGGTGTTAGGAAGGTGCCGTCCGCATCCGTGGACAGCGCGCCGGACAGAAATCGGCGCCTCTGTCTCCGCGGCAACAGTCCTGCCAGGCTGCGTGGAAGGGCGAGTGCCCCACCACCATTGCGGTCCGAGAGCTTCTCCCTGCGGAGCTGACATCATGCGTGGCGGTTTTTTTGCACCGCTCACCGCTCTGACACTTGCAGCGACACAGATCGCAAAGCATCCAGAAAAGCTCCTAACCGGCGAACTGCCCGCGGCAGCCACGGTGTGTTCGTTGGAACCGATGCAATGCCCCACGTTGGGCGCCACTTGCGGCTTTCGGGGGTCACTTGCTGCTGTCCTCCATCCCTCCCCAGCCCCCCGGGACCCGTCCGGCTAGCTGTCCCCTCAGGGGACCGGGGTTTGCCACGGTCCCGCTGCACTGGGCTTACCAGGCAGTGGCTGGGTTGGCACGGTCCGAGCGGCTGCGGCGCCTCTGTTGCCGCAAGGATTCGGGATAAAGAGACAAAGAGAGGTCAGTTGTGTGCGGTCCAGAGAGATTGTATTGCCTGAACGGTTGCAGGGACAAAAGACCCTGGGCTACTGCCCAGATACAGTTTTATACAGCAAAATTAAGAGCTAAGGTCTAAATAATAGAGACAGTGTCCAGCATGGTCTCATCAGAACCACCCCAGGGGTCAGGTCCAATGGGAACTGCTCAGGGGTGGGGAAAAAGGGGTTTACAGAAAAATGCTGAAGCAAAACTTTCCCGAAACAATGTGGCATACATAAATGTATCTTTTCCTCAGTTTCCCATTCCCAAGGCCTTTCTAAAAACCTTTCCTCCCCACTACCGCGCCAGCGTGATAGCAACATCAGTCAACACTGGGCTTTTTGGAATTGACTCATAATAGCAAAAATGTGACATAATACGGATTTTCCAATGATAATCACATCAATAATGAATAAGCACTTCTATACCATTTTGGAGAACTGCCATCATTAGGAAGTCTGTTTCCTTCAGATGAAAGACTATTCACTCGGAAAGGAAATATCAAAGGCAATTATTTTGCCTAAATGATCATGACTGTTTCTTTTGACAAGCACTACAGCAGTTTCTTGCATGGTCTTTGAACAGAGTGAAAACTGAGCTGGAATGTCACTGAATGTTTGGAGTATAATTTTCTATCCTGAATTTTTATTTTAGACCACTACTGGAATTGAAAAAATAATGCTGTCTTGTTTTTTCCTGACATGTACTAGCCAGGATCTCAGGGCTTCCCAGTGTCTTTCTTCTCCTATTACCACCTGGAGAAAACTTTGGAGGAGTTTATATACTGTGAGGGGGAGACTAATTTTCAGGCCCTTTTAACATGGAAATTTCTGCTTAGTACAACCATGCAAAGTAATTAGTAAATATTCCTGATGGAAGGTCATTTGAGACTATCTCACATCACTAGAGACCTCATTAGCAGCAACACATTTAGGAATCTCATTAATTATGTGTATTCAAAACACACAACTGAAGAAGCAATGATATCTTTTAAAGCCCTACCTGACATTTCTCTGTTAGGAACCCCCTCCTCTCACTTTAAAAATTGCGCTTCACAAATTGCACAAGATTTGTATGAGCTTTTTAGGTAAATTCTTTTGATGTAAATTCACTGAAACACAATTAATCATGTTCCCTTTTTACCTGGGGAACAGGAGTAGATGAATCTATCACCTACATCCAAGTGAACCTGAAGCCTTGGACTGCATTTATGTCGAGGAGCCTTGGGTCTGCCTGGGCATCCTTGTGCTTCTGAATGTCCCCAGGAAGAAAAAAGGGCATGGGAGAGCACAGAGAAATGGGCCCTTGAGTCTTCTGTGCACAAGAGCAAGTGATGGCAGTGACAAGCAATGAAGCAATGTTCTTGCATAGAAAATCTCAGCAAAAAAATACTGTAATAATAAAAATAATAATAGGTTTCTACAGTCAAACAGCCTGAGATTCTGCAGTGACCACAAAACTGTGTCTGCTGCAGTTTTCTTCTCTCAATGTTTTTTTCTGTTTCTCCCATCAACTGTTTATAGATGAATACTTTGCTACAGGAAGCCAAGGGAGAGGAAGGTAACCTTCAGTTGTACATTAATGAAACCCAGAGCAGTCATGTGCAACAGTGCATCTCAGCAGACATCTTTTTTGGGACATGATAAACTTTTTGAATCCTATTTCTTGACTAGAAGTGGGAAGAGGCAGGACAGATTCTGCTGTAGAAAGAGTTGCAAAGCAACCAAACTACTTTGTCATTTGCTTCCCACCCTCTTCCTTCTGCTCAGCATCCCCAATCCCTGTGAAAGTGTACCTAACCACATTAGTAATGACAAAACCAACAATAAATAGAAACTCCTTCACATACAACCCTGTGAAATTATATAAAGCAAGGCAAAGCTTTAGAGGACAAAAAACAAGGCCAGAATAAAAAGCAGATGGGAATGCAGTTAATGGATTCGTATGTTTCTGATATGGAAAGGCAGTCGTGCTGAATTTTTGATCAAGCATATCTGCACTTTCAATAGAAGCCAGATTTAGGCTGTGAACCGTGAGGCAATGTGTCATAAAAAAACATATTTTACTTAGGTAGTTCCCAAAGGTTATTTACCTTGAACAATCAGTGCTGATCACTGATCATTCTCTGCAGTTGCTTCTGCACCGCTAACATTATTGCCTGAAAGAAATATTTGTAACAACATATCTGAGTTTTAATTTCCTTTAAGGAGACAATAAATCACGTCACAGGTTTCTGAATTCATATGCATAGGAAAGGAGTTACTTTTCTGGGACAGGATTATTTTCTATTTCTTTCCCTACACATGCAATTCTATGCAGTTCCAGTAATGAGTGTGGAGCTGAAAACCAGTGCTTGTTGCCATACTTAATATACTTAATCTTGTACTTACTTCTATATTCTTCCAGAGGCATGTCAGCACGAGGACATTATGAGGACATTTGATTACCCCAGCTTCCACTCTTCTCCAAAAAGGTCTGATATTCCTTGGTTGTGGACAAAAGTTTAGAAAGATTACTCCCAAGATCCATATGGATGTATAATTTATCATTCAATCAGCCTGTCAAAATACTTTAAGTTAGCAAAGTTATTTTCCCACACATTTCTTTGCCTCCTCTTTCATAATTAGGGTGGTAAGGAGGAAAGGGAGAAATGCACAGTGATATTTCATTTCACTTCTGTGTGAGCCATGCAAGTCGAAAGGCTGGTAATGGAGACTCCTTCTTCCTCTTCTTGCCTTCACACATATAAGGGCCATGTTTGGCACCTAAAGCAGAATCAATCATGGTAACAATTTACCAAACAACATGATGAAATGAGATCCTTAAGTCTGACAGGTCTTGATGTCTGAAATTAATTAAAATATATTTTAGTTTGTGCAATAGCTCACACTACAATTCTCCGCCTCCTTTAAAAAAAAAAAAAAAAAAAGGAGACAGCTCCCCATCACCCAGAGCAAAACATGCTTTATGTCTTTGGACCTTGGTTCCAGGCACCAGCACATTCCAAATTCTACTGGCTTTTTAGCCCATGGTATATGGACTCTTCATTGCTTCATTGAGTTAATCTACTGACTGGTTTTAAACCTTGTTATTAAATCTGGGAGTAAAATGGACAAAGAGAAATACAAGAAGAAATTGAGCAAAACATGACATGGAGGTGAAATCTTGTTTTCCATATATAGGGCCAAATGTGAAGTCAGCGGAGAAGCTTTGAACATACAGTGGTGGAGCTGAAGGCAGGATTTGGCCCTTGAAGCTGTGGATTACTAGGTTTGGAAGAGAATTCTGGTCCCTCCATTGCAGCTTGGCTCTGACAAAATATGACTTCTGGACCTCATCCCAACAAGACGGGAATTATTTCAAATAACAATTTTGTTTGCATAGCTTAGGATTTCACTAAGTTATAAATACATCTTTTAAATTAAATTTCCCTTGGAAAACAATGATTAAATGAATGAATTACTCGTTAAAGGAATTCTTCGTTAAATGAGTATTCTTGGCGAAATCTAGAATTTAGGGTGGGGTCTATTGAGCCCAAACCACTGCTCAGTTTTTGCCATGACCGCAACAATGGGATGTTCAATCTCAAGCAGAGAATGAGTTGGCCTCATGGTTTCCTTTGCATTTCCTGTAACAGGCAGCAATGGCACAAAGTTATTTTTCTCTCTCTCTGTTGTTTTACTCTCTCCCTGTTCAGTGAGGACAGACAAACCATAGATTTAAAAACACTTCAACAGTGGACCACACACAGCCTGAGGTTAACGCTATTATTGTTGCTTTGTCAGGCCTTTCTAGTCTGCTCTGCCAACTGAATTGCTTGTTCCTTTATTAAATAGGATTCTTTTCCAGTAGCTATCTCCCTTAACCTCAAAATTATCTCCTTCTGTAGCAAAGAAAGATTAGCTGTGTACTCTTGTCCCTTAGTAAAATGTCAGAGACATCAACGGATATTATAGAATGTTCCCTGACCCTCTTACAGAAAAGGCAAACAATAAAAAAAGGCAAAACCCCATATTTTTCCTCCCTTTGGGGCTGGAGAGTAAGTGTATGGTACTCAGGCTGGACTCTGTTTCCTCCAACCTCTTTAACTGACCCTTCAGAAAGTAAAGCCTGACTTTTTTCTTACAAAATATTAAATTTTCTCTTAGATGAATACCTATCTTTGAGATATAAGAACTGTCTAGAAAGTTTTTCTGCTTTCTATGATGTTTCAGGGATGAGCAGGATGGTTTTCTAAAAGAAAGGCTTCTGACTGTGTGTACAGAGTACCTATCACTTAATGTATCTTTGGTCATTGTCAGCATTTCAAAGACTTCAGAAGATTCCCTAAAATATCTACAGGACTATCATCATCTTCTCTTGTTCAGTTTTCAGTTCACTGCTCCTATGTTCATATTGCCTCTCCTCATTTTCCTAGGACTGTGAGAAGTAGTCCTGGAGTCCAAATTTCACTTTTTATTCCCTTGTCCAGGTTTAGGAAAAGTTTGGGAGAAAACCTCCAAAGGGGTTCCTCTAGAAAGCAGATTTAAGTGGCCCCTCCCCCAACTGATTTAGGGAAAATACTTCCTTGCAGAAATGTGGAAAAAACCTGTTTATCTAACAGGCAAAGCATTCACCAGCACAAAAAAAGAACAATATTAAACAATAGAACCTCTTGCTGCTCTGAAGCGATGACAAACTCAGCAAGTCCCCTTGGTGGGCTGTAGCTCAGCTCACCCAGTTTGTTATCAGTCCCTCTGGCGCTGGAAATGCCGCAGCCCAGCCCCGGCCTGCTGGGCCACAGATGTGAGCAGCCGCTGCTCTTCTGGGTGTTCGTCCAGAGCAGGTTTGAACACTTCCAAGAAAAAGAAAAGCTACAGTCCAGGGAACTTCTCTGTCCCAGCTAAAAACTAACTAAAAGCAAAGGAGAGCTCTGTCCCGCTGTCTGTCCGTCCGCAGACAACACAGTCCAGGAGAGGGGCTGTGGAGGAGGGAGCGCAGCTTCCGGAAACAAACTGCGCGCTTCTTCTCTCCCTCCCTTCGCTCTCAGAACCACTCTTAAAAATGCAAAACTTATTTCTGGGCTAGAAAAATGGGGATAAAATTCAGCATCATAAAGTCACCCAGGACAGTACAGTAAATTTTCTTCTGGTACAGGCTTTTTTTTTTTTACCCTTCCCTTCGACTTCCTCTTTTCTGTCATCAGTTTTGTTTTCCTAACTGTTTATCAACCCCTCACTTAGTAGCTCAGCACAGAAGGTCTGTGTTAATAAATGTACAGTCATGGTCTAATCAGATTTAGATGTGATTTCTTCCTTTTGTTGACTGGTAGGTGACAGTTAAATCTTTCCTTTCAGGCTCTCTCAAGGAGGTGGAAAATATTTTGATTTTTTCATCTGGGATTTGTGTTATATGAAAAAGATAATACCCTATTTTTAAAGGTTTTGCATCATGTATACCAAAATAAGGTTATTTTTATTGTGTTTTTTCCCCCAGAAAGCACAACCAACATGCCAAATCTGGTTGGAAATGCTCATATCACAGCCAAACTAAGAGGATTAATTTGTTTATTCTGGTTAATGATGATTTGCTCTGAAGCCTGCTCTGTTCTGGGAAGAGGGGAAGCAAGGGCAGCTGTGGAGTGAACCTGCTGGCTCCACAGCAAGGGCCACACCCCAATCCACCCTCTTCTTACTCCCGTACTATCTCCTGCACTGCCTGTTCCTTGCAGAGCATGAGCGTTTCTTGGCCATGCTGGTTTGGGGGGCAGTGGGAGAGGCTCAACCCCTCGCTACAAGGGATGGAGATGGGCAATTCAGCACCTCTGCCCTTGCATCAAAGCAAACACTCACAGACTGAGTCACAAGGGAACAGCAAGGGAGGTTCACATTTCTGCTTCTGCACTGGAGAAAGCAGACACATGCAGGGCCCACAGAGACACGGGAATGTTTCTTGGCATGCCTTAAACTGGGGTCACTCAGCACCTTCTGCTAGAAACCCATGAAAAAACCCTTGAGTTAAAACCCATGAAAATAACCAGAGGAAGATTTTTGATTATTCTGAGTAACAGTCAGCATTTCAAACATATATGATTCAAAGGATACAATATTCCAGATAAGGTCTGTATTTAAATAGCAAACCTCAGCATAATGTGCATGAAAAAAAGCTGTTAAAAACTGACATCTGTGTTTTGCATGGGTATGTGGCTACACACTATTTTTAAGTCAGTTTACCAGAGAAAAAATGAACAGGCAAATGTGGGCTTGTGCTGTTTAAGTTTCCCAAGTAGTCAAATCAACTGGCTATCATGCTGAGGGGATGACACTTCCTCAAGCAGACTACCTAAAGGAATTGTCCCTTCTCTCTCATGTGGGAGTACGCACTGCTGAAGCAAAGGGGTCTTAACACAGTGAGATCTACAAAGTCCTTTTTTTCCCCACTGGGACAAAACAAACCAAAGAAGACTCCTAAGAATGAAATAATCTCTGTGTGTCACTGGGCGATGAGACTTTCCCCCTGCAAGACAAATGCATGACAAATTGTACCAGGGAAGGCACAGCCAGGCTGCAGGCTGTGCTATGACAGCGCTGAACCAAACACATGGGGAAGGAAATTTTGGGGACATCTGCACCAAAATATGGACTCTTCTGAACTTCTGCAAACAAATAATTAATGCCATAGTATTGCATATGAAGTTTTTATGTGAGGGAAACTTATATGTATGGATGTTCTATCTATAGATGTACAGATGTAGAACAGAAGGCTTGTATGGAATAGTGGTATTTTCTTCTTCTCAATTAGTTGATATGCAGACCAAGAACAACAGAGAAGAGAAGAGAGCTTGTTTTTGTCACACCCAACTGGAAAACACAGTATATTTCTGCTAAGAACCCAGTTAGTGTTAAAATCTTATTGGAGAGTTGGAGAAGCTGCAGAGATGTCACTTCGATGGCCTCAGCAGAAACATCCATGATATAAGAAGTCAGAAGAAAAAAATTGGATCTGGAGGGTAGACACCTGTTCCTTGAAGGAGGAAGGAAGTTTTGAGGGCTTTGAGCTGCTGTTTCCTGATGGAAACTGCACACTGGAACACAGGGACAGCTTGTGGTTGCTCAGTCTCCAACAGGAGCATCTCTGGAGCCAGCCTCAAGAGCCTCCAAACAGGATCTTCTCCTCTGAGAAGTGAGCTTGAAAAAGCACCAGGCTGAGAGAACATACCAGAAAGTCTGCTGTGAACAGTACATAAAAAATTGATCTCTACTTGACCTGTGCAGCTGTGTAGGTGTCTGGGGACTGGCAAACCTGCTGGATGAGAGGAGATGCTCTCCCTGGGGATATATGAGCAGAGGAGTTGTAACAACTGCATGAATTCTTTGATTCTGCATGCAAATTTCTGTTCAGTGGAGTGACCTGTACCCAGGATGAGATGAAGTGAAGTGAAGTGAAGTGAAGTGAAGTGAAGTGAAGTGAAGTGAAGTGAAGTGAAGTGAAGTGAAGTGAAGTGAAGTGAAGAACAGAACCCAAACTACCATCCCTAAGTATGAGCATATGACTGCTTTAGAACAACAAATGTATCACCAAAAAGGGCAGGGAGCACTACTGAGGGGTCTAAAGCAAGGGATGTTCAGCACTGTCCTCAGAAAATACAATCCCCAGGTGTCTCCCTGAGCTCATCCCTTCTCTGCTATCAGCAGCTGACAAGGGGACAAATTATGACAATAAAATATCATGCTCTTTTTTTTTTTCTTTCACTGGAAAACACAACAAATACTTGAGTCAATAAAATCAGATAGCAAGGAGCCATCTCTGAACCCAGTAACACCAAAATTCAAATGAGTTATTCTAAATAAAAGTAGAAGGCAAGCAAAAAGTCACTATCAATAGCAGATTCAGCTGGCCTGGAATCATATATGGCTAGCCAAGGATGATATTCCAAAGAAACTGTGGAAAAACAACGTGTTCAGCTAGTTCCCCTTACAAAAATTAGAATTAAAATAAAAATGTGACATCTCAAAATCCCTGACAAAAGGCTTGCTTTTTTCACAGAGCCTGATGAATGTGAATTACAAGAAGCTAATGCTATTGAAAAGAAGAAAATTGGATAACCTAAAATGTGGTGCAGGCAAATATCCTTGTATGCCTTGTATGCGTAGTAAAATAAAGAACACTAATGTTAGCAACAGCGCTAGAAAAACGCAGACCATTTCCAAACCTGAGCAGCCACAGATGTACACTTTGGTCATTTTAGATATGGCAATAACTATATGAAACAACTATAAAAAATTCATCATAACAACGTGGGAGGGGGCAACTGGAGGAGAAGTGAAAGCAATTTGTTTGATAATGTTTATGCCAGAAATCTCCGTAAAGCTGACATAGCAGAGTACTACAGAAGGGCATAAGGGAAGCCTGAGGGATATGGAAGGAAAAACAAACAATTATGGAAAATATATTTGAATGTGAACGTAGAGAATACAAATTACCAGTTATTA